GGACAGGCTCAACTTGGACGTCACTACAGACAATGTTGAGGAGTTCCGCTTCCAGATCTCTTAACTCATTGTGGCGCATAATTGCAAAGCCTCCACGTTTGCAGATCATGGCATGGTCAACCGTGAAGGTATCCCCACATACACATATGGAGGGGATGTCGTCGATTGGCCAATCATAGCGCAGCTTTACGGCGTCCCGAAATTCTCTCTTATTCAAGTTGAATCCCCGTTCTTTTAGGGGAAGTGCTGTGAGCCACACAGATGATTCTTTTTCCGAAGCCACATCTAATATACGCTGAATTCTTGGTGGTGCACTCTCTCTAATACGTTCTGCCCTCCTCCCACTCTTGCACTCTTTCTTTTCTAATGGCTTGTTGCGCTGATTTTATATGCGACTCGTCGGGTAGCTGATGTAACTGCGCTACAATCTGATCAACAAGGGGTGCTGTCACTCTTTTTGACGACACATACTGACGTTCTGCCCCATGACTTGGATTTTCAAGCCCAGGCCACCCAGACGTGCTGGAAGTGTTAGAATGTCCCGATCGAGTGAATTGCAATGGTGATCTGTGATAGCGGGTATGAGAATCTGCGATATTGCCTTTTCGAGTGGCTCTAGTAGGTCCTGGATGTCTGGCAGGGTTCTTAGGAAGTAGGTCCAACGATGTTTCAAACCAAATGTGTATGCGGCATAGGACGCTTGTGGTTGGGACAGTGCAAATTCGGCTAATTCTGTTACTTCGTTGACCCAATTAGAGACCTTCTCATTAACATATTCCTCCAGATACTCTCGTGAAGCTAGCGCTGCTCCCAGATGTTTCTGCCCATGCACTGTTACATTGATTTCCGTTCCATGGAAGACTTCTCTCACACTTTCTTCCTTTTCGGGCTTAACAATAATCCAGCATTTCTCGTCTTTCGGAAAATATCCCAAGTTTGGACCAAGAGTATTCAATGCATCCCACCAATCTTTGATTTGTGTCACAAGACCAGCTCCACACGCATCGTCTGCGAACCAACACTGCTTCACGGTAGATGCGGCCTGTAGACTCGTGATCAAAGGCAGGGTACTTATCGCATAAAAGGCCAATAATAATAATAATAATAATAATAATAATAATAATAATAATAATAATAATAATAATAATAATAATAATAATAATTTTTTAAACAACAGAAATCTTTATTAATAACATGATAATTTATACAAATATATCACATAATTAGACTTTCAATTAAATCAGGAAAATAGAGAAACAGTTCACTATATTAGACAGATAGGTCCATTCTCTACACTTTGTATCAATAGTAGCTAATAAAAATTCAGTAAGTCTGGGTTATTCCACGGCTTGTTTCTTCTGCAGTAAATGTAGAATGTTGCTCTCAGAGCTACCTCCATACATTTTTTAATAATACGTTCGTCGTTCATTTCAAGTGTTCGTAATAATCTACGAAATCTGTCAATATCTTTCGACACAAACCCTAGAGTGGTAACTTCAAGTGTAATAACTTCAAACGCATAACACGCCGTGATCAGCTCAGATCTTAGATGTCTGTATCTTTCTTTCTTGCGACGTTTAGCCTTCGTACAATTGGTTTCGTAGGGAACAGTTAATTCAACCACATATACAGAACCCTTAAAATCCACCACTATATCAGGTCTTAGCGTTCGAAATAAAGTTGAAGTACAGGTCGTACCTGAATTAGGACAGTCAGCAAACAGTCGAAGATGTGCACCAACTGCGACTTTTAAGTGATGAATAATAGTCATCAGAATCGAGTCATGCCGCCAAGTATAGCGTTGTTGTTCTAGGGCTACCTTGCAGCTGGAAAAACGTGTAGCTGGGTTTGTAACTTGTTGCACAACTCACAGTTGGCGGAGTCACGAATGTTCCAGCGCTTTAGGTTAGAATTATTTCCTAAACTTAAAATTAACGCTCTCCTAGCAAAGCATACTATATTGCTGGGCATTCGAGTGACAATTTCGTGCCATACTTTAATCATCTTCTTATAGCAAGTATCAGTTAAGCAGGTAATGATCACGGATTGTTCTTTTAGTTCTACAAAGTTTGACCAAATTTCGTTAAGGTTTTTCTTTACCAGAATCTTTTTTGCAGCGTTTCTTAACATATATTGTTCAGAGATACCAGCAGCCGCCCGTTCAATAATATCATCAGTGACGATGTTTTTTGATGACGTTTTGGTATATAGCTGTTGAATATCGGAGTTGACAGAAGTCCTCAAGATTCTGCGCACTGTCAGTTTACATTGATTATATATGTCAGAGGGGGAACAGAAATCAATTCCCAGTTGAAATTTAGGAAGCTTTAGATGACTAATGTTACCGCTGATTGGGATCTGGAGCCATTTCCGGATATATTTGGAAATTATAGAGTCCAGATTAGAATGTATCCAGCTTATAGTAAGCGGGTAGATTGAAAAACGCCAGAAGAACTTTGAGTAGACATAACTTTGAACCACGCGAATTTTGGAAAATGGATTTATTGGGATAAGATCAATTTTCTTTAAGTAGTGTTGGATTTCATCAAGGATCTCAATTTTGGTTTCAGTACAATCCATTTCAAAATTGAATTGTTTACCTAAATACATAAAACTTTCACCGTCCTCAATTGGGGGAACCTGTTGACCAGAGATTTTTATAGTAGGTTTATACTGGACTGCTTTTGTCCCAAACTTTTTGATCCCAAAAGTAATAATAATAATAATTTAATTGTTTAGTAGCTCGATAAAATTGTACAAAGTTAAGATTAAAATTCATTATATAAAAGAAACATATGTTTTGGTCTATACTGATAATATTAAAACAATTGTCATTTTGTTATAATAATAATAATAATAATAATAATAATAATAATAATAATAATAATAATAATAATAATAATAATAATAATAATAATAATAATAATAATAATAATAATAATAATAATAATAATAATAATAATAATAATAATAATAATAATAATAATAATAATAATAATAATAATAATAATAATTATTATTATTCGCTGAAGGCAAGGTGATTATCGGTGAATAAAAACTGAGACGAAGTCGAGGTTTTTATTCACGATAATCACCGAGCCTGAGGTGAATATTTGTTTTAGTCATTAATAATGTTTATAATAGTTAATTTAGTTAATATGTTTTAGTGTAATAGCTGATTATGTGGAAAAAAGACACATTTCTTCGTCATTTAATTTACAAGACGACTTCGGCAGTCATTTCGAAAATCGCTTAGGTGATCATCGCGTTATTATCACCTCAACGGCAACCAATCAGGGTGGAGAATTTTCAATAATCACCTATGTAATTATACTAATAATAAGCAGTGATTAAATGCCCCGAAGGCTCAGGAGGTTTGTGGAATCTGAAACCTCCCTCGCCTAATTCGGAACATTTAATCACTAATTTCCCTCAAGTCATGCTATTACTTATAAATATTGTTGTCTTTTAACCCGATGATGAACGTCATTTTTTAAAAAGCCTTGTTCTTGATCATTAATAACACAAAAATGTCTATTAATAAAATGAGGCTAAGAGAAAGTTCGATATTAAATATTTTAAAGAACGTGGTAGATTTGTATTTATTTTTTCCGCTTTGTACAACAAATTTAAAACAATAATCGTGTTGCCATGGCTAATATAACACGACTCATACCAGCAACGTGAGCGTGCGTTCAGAGTTGGCGTAATTAATTAAGAAAACTTCTTGGTTGAAACAACTTTTGGAACATGTGGGCGAGGCCCGCGAGGGGATACTGATGCATGTATGTATGCATGCATGTTAGTTTACTTTCCGTTTGCTTAATATAATTTCTAGCAACAACACTAGCAGATGTATTTGACTTCGTTATTGTTTTGTCTCCGTTCTAGTTTCGAACCACGCAGCACTTCTCTGGGTAATCCAGTTTTCACCGTTCTTGTTAAAGTAGATCAGTCGTGAATGACCATTAAGTAAAGGCTATAAATTAGACGAAGAATGGAAACAAACTGCAAAAATCAATGTTTTATTTCAAAATAATCAGTAAGTTTTTAACAGAATTTTGTAAACCGCATGAGAAGAAACCAAAAAAAAGCCAAAAGACCAGCCAAATTCCAGTTATTTGGCCTACAAGAGCTACTTAGCAATCTGTCTATGATACCCCCCCCCCCTGAAAGTATGAAAATTTGAAAACGCCGGGTGTGTGGCATCATTTACGTGCACATGGCTAGAAATTTCATACACTGTGGAGTAGAAGCATGCGCGTTAGGTACTTAGTAATTAATCCAAAATGGCGTCTTTAGCATAAGATTTAAGCGGAAAATACACAAAATTATATTTTAGCAATTTACAAATGTAAATTCCAACATGCGAACGTCTGAAACATTACCATATCACACAATATATTATTTGTTTATAAATTATCGGAACAATTCGATCAGGCTGAATGGGTTCCCGAGCTCCTCGTCAACATACCTGCTATTCTCTGTATATTCTCTGTATATTTTGTAATCTGGAGCTGAAATTATGGTCATACTTGAAAATTTTTCGACCACGTGAACGTCAGAATATACTCCAGAATAACGATACTTTTACTATTAAGCCATTTTAGTCCTGTTTAGTGAGTTCCCTAATGTCTTGAAATACGTTGTTTTTGAGGATCATAAGATTGCTATTTAGAAGCCATGGTAGGCAAAATTTCAAAATATAGTTGTCATTTTCGCCGGTATTCATTTCATGACTAGTGTTTCATGATCTTTCCGCCATTGTTGTTGCTCGAAAGCTCTTGAAAGCTGTTGCTATGTTACCATGGCCTTTACTGCTGACCTAAGAGACTGTAGTCACAAAAAATATCCGTTCAAAGTCGCGGGAAAATTCAAATTAGATTGTTGACATTGCGAAATGTGTTGTTGGAAATCACAAATTAGATTGTGGGCATATTGAACAATCCCCTCGTTATTTCATTGAGAATCTAACTTGTTTGTTTTTAATATTTGCATAAAATATCGGAGCAATTAACATATTTTTAAATATATACCATATATCGCAATTTTGAATATTTGAAAAAAGCAAGCAAAATTAATATATATTAATTTGACTTTTCTTTTTCTGAAATAATCACTCTTTCCACTTCATAGTATTTTCCGGCCTTCTTCGTTGATTTTGTGTAAAAACCGGCAGTACTTAAATTATTTAGTTTATTATAAAAGCAAACCGCCATCTTGAAAGTTCCTGCAAATGAATCTGCAATCCCATGCCGCTGAGTGTATGAAATTTCTAGCCATGTTGCATTTGTTTAGATTGGCGTACAAGCACAAAGAAAGTGGATACTAAAAGCGACAACGGCATACTTGGTAAACTGGACAAAGAGGCAAGAGAATATATAAATTTATGTAGTGTTATAAACATTATTTATCAACATTATTTTGAGCTCCCAAATCTTTAATTCCAAGAATGGTTTGGACTTCATCTCCTTTTCTTAACTTCAGGAGAACTAATAATCAAATTCAGTATCAATCAAGAAATTAATGTGTCTATTATTGGCTTTCCCCTAAGTCTTACCATCGAGACAAGCACGGGAATGCAAAGTTTTCTAAATTTTTTTGTTTGATTATTTTTTCCCTATATATACAAAAATTTCATAATCGAACAATTCAGATAATATTTACAAGTGATAGGGCTAGATCGAGCCCTAATAGAAATCTTAACCAGGCTTTTATCAAGCCCTGTAGTTATATATATATATATATATATATATATATATATATATATATATATATATATATATATATATATATATATATATATATATATATATATATATATATATAATTATATAGTGTATATAGTACCGGGTGTCCCAAAACAATTGCGCTGTTTGATTTAATGTAACATGAAAACTATAAAAGCTATTCCACTAAAATAAATTTTATAGCATTCAGAAAGGGTTAACTTAGATTTTAACATATAACATTTGAATATCCGTGCAATATTTACTGAGCTATCGATGTTTTAAATCGAATAAGCATATTTGACAATATTAAAAATTTGCATAAAATTGCCAATCAAATATTATTTGGTTAAACTTGATTATATAGTTTTATTGTGGCCAAAAGAACGAATGAAAAACATAATTGTTGGATAAACATTTATTCATTCATCATATAAAGTATGTCCCCTTGCACGCATACAATGTCTTGCACGGGAAAACATAAAAGTCAAATTCTTTGATGTTAATCGAATCGTATTCGAAAGGCGAACGAGGACCAACTTTATAATACAAACTCTCACAGGACGCCAGACAAATATGCTTTCGAACGTTTTTAAATGTTTCATGCTTATTTCGCTTCCCAAGAAACAAGAAAGGTTAACTTATACTAGGACTTTACCCGAAATTAAAGTTGAGTTGAAATGCTGAAATTGAAATTGTTAATTTTTGTGGAGAATGGCAATTTGTTTTCATATAAATTTGATCAGCCATGTTTCTCGATTTTTTTACTCATTTTTAAAGCGTGTGTTACATTCAAACGTAATATTACATGACATGTAATACGTAATATTACATGAAATGTTTAGGGCTGTATATCAAAATCTAAGTTAGCCTTTCCTTAATACAACAAAAGTTATTTGAGTGTAATAGCTTTTATAGTTTTTACCTTACATAAAATCAAACACCGCAAGTTTTTTTTTGGGACACACGGTATAATGTTTAAAAACTCATTAATATAATTCATGAGGAAAACACAACGAAAAATTATAAGCGTGTCGTATCTTTATAATTATGTGATAGAGATTTCTCTTGATTCACATAAACTTTAACTTTGATTTTCTCGACTTGCACAACGTATTTTTTGAAAATAACTTCGCCAATGAACTTACTAGATCGATCGTTTTTTAAGCAATTTAAAACATGAACAGTAGTGTTTTATCAGACCTAATGATGCTCAGCCTCGCCTCGCATCTTTATATCTGATAAAACACTGCTGCTCATGATTTAAATAGTACTTTACAAAACAGGTTGGAAATTTGTCTGAGCATGCGCGAGCAAAACGAGCCACGCAATTGCGTAAAGTACACGCAATGTGTGTTTACAAAAACTTCAAAAAGGCGTAATTGTGTAAATATTGCCAAATGTTTGGTACAAAATAAATTATAGTTTTATGTTGAAAATGGACATGATCTAAATTAATCATGCAGAATTTTTTAGTGACGTCCATTTCAGTACCCTGCCATTGTCCCTGGTGTGCTGTCCGTGTGCATTGATCTGAAATAGTTATTACTTTGCTGTCGAAACATTTCGAATGTCCAGATGAAAATACATTGTATTTTATGCATATTATAACCTTGTAAACTGTATGGGCCCCTATTTTACGCTTATACCTAAGATATAAAATAAAAAGAAAAGAAACAGAGAACATTTTAGTTTTATCGTGAGGACACTTCCAGTTTTTAAAATATCTTCATTTCTTTTCCGGTCATCACCAAAATTACACTGAAGCTGGGCTTGAATATACAACAAATTTTGAATCTCATCAAGTACAAAAAAACGTGTAACCAAAATATGCTCATGAAATCGAAATTAAGAGCTAACTTTTTAAACTAGACCCTTTTTGAGGAGGTTTTCAAGAAGGAAGTTCACCTTTCGGCCTTTGATTCTTGGCAAAAATTTGACCACAACACGTGCAAAGCAACTGCATGGGTTCCAATTGAGCCCCTATTTTTCTGACGATATGTTTGATACCTTCAAACGCCGAAAAGTTTTCTCTTTGCATTTAGCAGTATTCGAAATTGAGGCAACTGGCTATTTTTAAAAAAATACAGTTACATATTTTCAAAATTCGTCAAATTTCGCGAGCTTGTATTTTGAACTATAGTCAGTTGAAGTTCCATTAAGAAGCATAGCATGGAAAATTTGAAGCATATAAAATTAATTTCAACGTACATTTCATTCTCATATCACGTTTTTCTTCGTTATTACGTTTTTAAGCAAGCAATAGCTCGACGTATACGGTATTTACTCTCATGTTCACGTCGCCACATGCACTTCGACTAATCACTCGATTTCAAAAATAATCATCCCAAAACAAGGAATTCATGATTGATTTTTAAAAGAATAACCGTTAATTTGTAAATCGTTTGAATAGAAAGGAAAATATCGTTAGCTATAAAACAGCTTCCTGCTAACTTTCTGCTTTTTTTGAATGTAAATGCATTGGAGCTTTGTTTTTGCCCGAGATTTTTTGGTCAGCGACGACAAATTTCCCACCTGTTACCTTACAATTTTTTTGTAAAGAAGTAAAGAAGTAGAGTTGTGCAAATTAATTTAATACAATATGGAGATAAAATGTTAGCTATTATATATGACAAGCATATTGTCCTATATGCATTTGAAATGCATGCATGCAGTATTCCAAGATACTATCATTACAAAAATGATTTATATGTTTTAGTTGGTCTTATGAGTCGATAACTAGTTTCATTAAAAATATTCTTTAATTTGCTTTTTTGGAATGTGTTATAGGAGTTAATGTGTTTTAATTAAACTCGGTGTTGATTTATTCCATACATCGAATGCTTTTCAGAAAAATTTCGAAGATTTAGACCCTCAGAAAGCCTGGAAATGCAATTAGTAGAATTTGGCATTTTCAGCTTGCTTCGTTTTTAACTTGCACGTTTGCTTGTCAATGCCGCCGGGGGAGGGAGAGGTAAAACAGTTTTCCAAACATATCATTATTCACTAACTTTCCAATTCATGTACCATATTTTCTTAAATTTTTTTGGAATATTTTCATGAATTTATCAAATTTTTTGCTATCACTATTACTTTTTCATCCGAAGCCACTCAAATATTTTCCCTGATTACGAAAACGATTTGCCGATAAAACCGTTATTTTGCCGAAAAGACGTTTTCAGGGGGTGTCACACCACACACTCCGACCTGCTGCTCAGTGTTGAAATCCCACCCAGTTTTTATTTTCAAATTAGAATTAATATTACTTATTAAGCCTGAATGTCTGCAAAACAATTAAAGTTTCAATTTTATATCATTAAATTTCACACCTTAATTTTCAGGTCGATAATCTTTATCGTAAGAATATATCAGATGAAGTCCGAAAAAAGGTTGCCAGGGAAGTTATCGACGATCTGTTAAACGTAACAAACCTTGATAAGATGGACGAACAACAAAGAGAAAATGGAATAGACCCACAAAATATTACTATTATAGCCAGAATACTACAACAAATCGTTCATCTAAATGTTTCTGATAACAATCTTAACATATTGGGTCCGGCAAGCAATATATTGGATATTAGGAATACAAAATCGTGGAGAAACATGACGGTGAGTTAAGGCCATATTACACGGTGCAATTGTTCTTGCAACTTGCAATGCAATTCTACTCTTAAGAGATGTAAAAATGGCAAATACGAGTCTTCACTACACTCCGCTGATGTTTTCTCAACATATCGAAAATTGTTGCTTGTGATACTACTCTGAGTGTATATCCACACTGGGCAAGCTTGAAAAAATATGCCTGACCACGGTGGGAATCGAACCTACGACCTTTAGCTAGAATACTAGCCCAATGCTCTACCAACTGAGCTATGTCTGGTCGGTTCGAGTATGTGATATTTCGGAACAGAATCTAGTCCCTTCGATATCAATGTAATCTAGTAATAATGATATCATTGGAATATACCATAAAAATCGAAAGTGACCAAAAAAGCAACAAAAATATTTTAAAATAATTTGTATTTTAGCTTCCATAATAGGTTGTAAATAAAACAGCTTTTACACGCCTTTAGTAATGTTATTCATTAGACTGAAAAGCTTCAAATATCATTAATAATTCATACGCTTATTGGAAAATCATTTCAACCATAATATGTCACGTGCAGCGGCTTTAAACCATATAAAATACGTCTCCTATATATAATTAGTATTATTTATATAAAGAATACTAATAAGGCAGTATCTATTGTAGTCGTGTCCTCATTAGTATTCTTTATATAAAGAATACTAAAAAGGCAGTATATCTATTGAATCTGTAGTCGTGTTTGAAGCCGTTTAAATGTTTAGTGAACTCGCAGGTCTCGTTTTATTAGATCTAAAGCCACTCGCGCTGCGCGCTCGTGCGCGCTTGGCTTTAATTTAAACTTAATAAAACACTCTCGCTCGTTTATTAAACAGTACGTTAAAGAATACTTCTACACACTGTTAAACAAAACTTATTGCTCATAGTTTTTTAAATTCTAGACAACACGTGACACTCACATTTAGCCGTTTTAATGGGTTAAACTTTTCCACAAATTTTCTACTTTGCCAATAGGTGTGGCCAGTTCTACAACATACTTGAATTCTAGAAATCCGGGCATTCTATTTTCTTGTCTCATCTTTTTTCGTATCGTCTTTCATTGTGTCATCTTTCTTTTCTAGGACAATAAAGTGATTCGTGATCTGGTAATAACCTTGGAAGATTATGGATTGCAATATGGAGAGAACTTAAAAAACAGCTCGAATACTTCGCTTATAGTTAAGGACTATCCCAACGTACAGCTAAACCTCAGATACATAAAATACGCAGGCAATTTGTCACGAGAGGAAAGAATTTTTAAGTTTCCAAATGCGTCGTTCAACCTCTCGCCTGATGCGTTACTGAAAGAATCTGGCGCTGTGGTAGTTATCTTGTGGTATAAAACAATACATTATCTTATAAAGAATACATCTTCTGGTGATAATATTTATGCAGCAATAAGCAGCAAGATTATAACTGTAAATGTCCGACCTGAGCGAAAGGTGAAGTTTTCAGAACCTGTACGCATCAGCTGGGACTTAGCGGAATTGGTAATTAAAGCGTACTTTTGTTTTCTACTCGTAGAGAATGGCACTTTGCAACTTAGGATGGAAAATAAATGAGTATTCGAGTAAGACACTTGAGTAGGATAGAATTGAATTGAGTAAAATGGTTGGGATAGTTGGGTAGAAAACATCAGAATATTATAGATTAGGATCCTGTATACTTGGGAGTTCGCAGGTAGTGCTTTTCGCGCAATTTGATTGGTTGCTCAGCTCCGGATAACCTTGCACCATTTATCTCCGGAAAAAACAAGATGGCGTCCCATTTCTTTGCGATTTATACAGAAGAGCAAATTTTCTACTAGCAAGTTTTCAACTCGCAAAACACGTTTTGCAAGTTTTCTACTTGCGGTTTCGCAAGACACGAAGGAAGCCAGAAAATTCCGTTTAATTAACAGTATGTAGAGGTATTCTTTAAAGCTATTTCTAATGAATAAAATTACTAAAAGCTTTTACTAATTACTAAATACTGTTTTTTTACAACAACAGTTTTACGGGAACTGAAGAGTGAATATGCTAAAACAATTGTTCACCTCAGTGTCGGTGAATAGTGCAAGGATATCCACCCGGCAATGCTTCGTGTTTCGGTAAATATCCTGGCACTATTCACCGACACTGAGGTGAATAATTGTTAAATATAATAACTTACCCTGGAATACAATCATTACGGAATACAAATCAATAGAATGCCAACGAATATATCTGAGTGCATAACACCTGAAACAAAAAAAAACATGAAAAATGTTTACTGTTTCTTAAATAACAAGATTAGTGATTGTTTAAATGATTTATTTTACTTTCAGAACGATTTCAAAATGTGTGCCTACTGGAAACCAAGATTAGGTGAAAATATATGGAAGTCAGATGGATGTAAAAGAATAACAGACAAGTTATATAGTAACCGCCTGACATGTGAATGCGACCACCTAACAGCTTTCGCTGTTATGGATATTTCAAGAACTATGGTAAGATTTTAAGGTTACAGGATACCCTAGGCGTGCGTTTCAGGAGATCTACCTCTACTCGGCGAATTTCTTTCAATTTTTTGCCGAATATAGCCAGATAGATGAAGAATAACATAGTAGTAATTATAAAATATACGAGAAAAAATTATTTTCCCGAATATTGCTACAAGAATTAACTAAAGTTTGTGGTACCTTCTTAAACACCGGTTCCTACGGAAGCCGTGAAGGGACTTCAGACTTCAAACATTGTTCCGAGCTTCGCTAATAGCCAACATTGCTTCTGCGAAGCTGGCTAATATTTAAGGCACTTATTCAGTCAAAGCTATTCAAACAAAAGTTAAAAATGGTCAGAATGATTTAGATTGTAAATGGAGACTATTGGATTAATGTGTCAGTGAGTTCTGAAAGTTCTTTGCAGGTTTAAACGCAGAACGATAAAACATATAATACTATCGTTTGTAGAAACACCACGTAAATTTATTACTGCAGCAAATTTATTAACTTTATTCTGTAAATTTATCAAGTTAAGTATAACACGCGCTCAAAACTAATGCGTATAATATACCACTTAATTGAGGTTATGACTAAATTCAAAATTTTTATTTTTCGAAACGTTTCTCAATCGGCAAACAAACTTAAAAAGTATGTTTAGTGCTTTATCTGTAAAATAATGCTAAATTGAAGAAATTTTAGACTACGCCAAAGAGAAAATTATGTCTGAATTCAGTAAGTTTTGCTTATATTGCTCGGCTTAAATATGGCGTCAATTTTAAAGCATCATTGATAATGTATTTTAATTGCAATTTTTAACTATGATTTTATGTTTGTCAACCGGCAGATGCATTTAAAAAGGTAGCTAACTACATAAACTAACTAGAATAAGGCAAAAACAAAGTGATTCTAAGAGGAGGAACGCAAAAGCAATGTTGGCTACCATGCAGCGAAGCTCGGAACCAATGTTTGAAGTCTGAAGTTTGAAGTCTGAAGTTTGAAGTCTGAAGTCTGAAGTCTGCATGAAGTCTGAAGTCCGAAGTCTGAAGTCTGATTGTCAAACATCTGTTCCGAGCTTCGCTAATAGCCAACATTGCTTTTGCGTACCTCCTCTTAGAATCACTTTGTTTTTGCTTTATTCTAGTTAGCTACCTTTTTAAATGCATCTGCCGGTTGAGAAACATAAAATCATAGTTAAAAATTGTCAATTAAAATACAATTATCAATGATGCTTTAAAATTGACGCCATGCATATTTAAGCAGAGCAATATAAGCAAAACTTACTGAACTTCGCCAAATGTTGCTTGAATGAATGATATACGCAAACATTTACCTCATTTCGCTTGTGCTCACGTTCTTTCGAAACATATTAAAAGGTTTAAATATAGAGCACAAGGGAAGGTGATTTGGACAGGTGAGTTAAAGGGGATTTAATGGAAAGCCTCAAACATTTAATGGTCGATTTATTTGGCAATATGTCAACGAATTCGCCCTGAAGTCCACAATCAACGGCATGCAGTTAAAAGAATCTAAGTGTATGTATATGGAACTCCGTATCTGTTTTTCAACTACGAAAACTGATTTCGATCTCATTCTTATCAATGACAAAGAAATTGAGGTTTTCCCCGAGGCAAAATTACTGGGCCTCGATCACCATCACAAATTATCTTAAATGGAATTCACATGTCAAGAATATATGAAAAAGGTCTCGACTCTCAACCCGTCTATACTTTCTAAGACAACTGAAACGTGCCACAGTTCCATCAAGAGATCTCCTTATATTCTATATTACCTGCATCTGGCCAGTCGCTGAATAAGTGTGCGAAGTTTTCCACGACTCTTTCCAAAAATACCTATTTGACGACCTTAATTAAATAACTTGAAAAGCGTGCTTGTAGAATAATATTAACAGATCATCGGTTTTTTGAAGCCCTGGATCAATTGGGTCTTACTACATTGGCTGCAAAAAGACCGAACTTAACTAACAAGTTTTTTTAAAATATAGTCAACGATCCTGAGAACAAACTACATGACTAATCATTGCCTCCAGTGAACTCCTCAGAAATATGCCTGCGAGGCCTGGAAAAAGAACGTTTCGAATTCCTAATTAATTTTAAGACAAATAGATTTAAGAATAATTTTATTAATTGTAATGCATGTAAATACGTAATTGAATCGAACTAATTTTTAATTAATACTGTTAGTCGATCTAACTTTTAACTTTTATTACTGGTACAACTTAACATTATTCAGCCGACGTGCAAGGCCTAGGCTGCGAGTCTTTTGAGTTAATAAATCTATCTTGGCTATCTATCTTTCTATATTTCACATCAAATAAAAATAGTATCAATGGGTCATTGGATTAATTAGGCCTGACCACGCGTTAGTTTAATTAAATTAATAATAATAGTTACGCTTAAGAAATGAGGTAAAAGTAATGGGATTAATAGACTAGAGAAAGTGTTAGGATCATGACATCCACACAGATTTAAAGTTTGTTCGTTCACAGCAACCGGGTATATAGATCATGTTTTCGCTCGCTACTCTGGTTTATATTATGAATGAATACAAGGCCCAATCGAATTGTAATCAAGGCACAACTTTTTGGCACTCCAACCTAGTGTCTTTATCCGGGTGCATCTAAAGTTGCAATATGGCTTCTTAAATACCCAAGAAATGACGTCATCTGCCAATGAGATGCATGTATTCCTCTGGCAAATAGGCACCGTCATTCCTATTCAAGACATGATTACTCATGTTTATATGCCACGCTTCTAGGCATCGTATTTGACCATAGCGATTATTTGCGGTAATTACTTTGAATTTTTCTACGCAATCTTGTGTTTGGTGTTACACACATGTTCTGCTAAAGCTTATTTCTCCTTCCTTTAAGTTGAAACAGCCTTTTGATGTTCTTTTAGCCGCTTGGGCTTTGTATTTATTTATAATTATAAATCAGAGTAGCGAGCGAAAACATGATCCTCACACACGCTGTTCCATTTGATATTGATTATCTCGTACTTTTCTCTGTTTCACTTGGGCTTGACTGTTCGAGATAGTGGTGTTCTACTGTACTTGATGCTGTGCTCTATTCTATATTGTATTTATTTCCTCAAGCTAAGCAAAGATAAAAGAAAAGCTTTGGAGCTAATATCCACCATCGGCTGTTCTGTGTCGCTGGTTGGAGTAATTCTGACGATATTAATATACGCATTGTTTTGGAAAAGACTTCATAGTAACTCCAAGAGTAAAGTACCTTCCCAAGTGCTCATGCATCTCTGTGTTGTGATTGGAATGACAGATATCTTTGCTATCCTGGCCGGACCAGCACTAAAATACAAGGTGAAGCTCAGAGAAAACCGTAAGCGTACGGGCTTGACACTTTCCGATGGGGGGGGGGGGCACTTGAAAGTTTTATGGAATATTGTAATGAAATTACAGTACCTGAATATAACATATTTTGTGACACATGTGTTCGAAATTTTTCAATATTTTTTTTTTTTTTTGGGGGTGCTCCTTTGCTTTTCTGTCTCGTATGCCTATGGCAAAAAAAACAGGAAACATTTGCAAGAACCCTTTTTCAGGCGGTTGAACAAATTATGTCATCTAAGTATATAGCTCATGCATAACAAATATTGGTTGTGACATGTGCAAGGTTGAAAACTATCAGAATAATGTCTGCAAGACAATAATCACTAAAAACTGTCAGGCAGCATCAATGCTTATTGCTTTATTCTCTTGTTTTTTTGACAATGAGATTCCATAGTACATTAAATCATAATTTATTTTGTTTCTTTCCATTCTATAGACATTCTGTATAGCCGTTTCCGTTCTACTATATTTCTTTGTACTCGCTCTTTTTGGATGGATGCTATGTGAAGGAATTATTATTTACCTTCAACTCGTGAAAGTTTTCTCAGGATTGGGTTTGGGAGGAAAACATCTGAAGGGATTCTATATTATTGGTTGGGGTAAGCAACATTGAATAAGATTTATAAACCGTCTATCGCCTGAACGTTTTTGGATTAGCATTAAAATACTATAAAACAAAACAAAATAAATATTAAAATAGGATTAAACTAGAGGACACCTCATACCTCTCCAGCGAAGTTAAGTTTACGTACAGAAATCATAGATGCATTAATTACGTGTTGAAAGAAGAAAGACATTTTTTATGTTTGATAGCCAATTTGAAAATTACACAAATTGAATATCTAAGTTGCTAAATACCTGATTATTGAATACCTAATTAATCTACTGATTTAATATTCATATAGCATGCAGCAGTAATTTATTTTTAATCCTAAATGACTCTAACTACTATGACTATTTTGGGTTTTATCATGCATGTATGCCCTATCAGTATTAAAGCCTTATTGCTTCACACGACAACGCATCCTTATGAATATAATCCATGCAAGGTAAAAAGGACAATCACAAACAATAATTTTGTTATAGGCCTTATTCATAAATCGTGACGAGGCCTCGTATCCTAGGATACGGGAACAAAACGCGGGAAAACAAGCGAAAACTGCTTGACAAGTCAAATTCAGATGCTATTGTGTCGACTTTAACGGCTTGTTTCTTGTTGCTTTTTGCGATTTATAACGATTTTTGTGTGTATTTTAAGACTTTGTGCCCACAACGAAAGCGGTAAACGAGTATATTATAAAAGCGACCGGTTTTTCTCCCGTTCTTGTGTGGAAAAAATGACGACGTAGCGATGGTGTTTATCGAGAAGCGAAAAACAGTATTTTACTGAGATTTTAACGTCAATATTTAACAATTATTCGCCGAAGGCGAGGTGATTATCGGTGAATAAAAACCGAGACGAAGTCGAGGTTTTTATTCACGATAATCACCGAGCCTGAGGTGAATAATTGTTTTAGTATAATTTCATAGGTGATTATTTGGAAAAAAAAATTAAAATGCACATTTCTTCGTCATTTAATTGACAAAACGGCTTCGGCCGCCATTTTGAAAATCGCTTAGGTGATTATCGCGTAATAATCACCTCAACGGCAACCAATCAGCGTGGAGAATTTTCAATAATCACCTATGTAATTATACTAAAAAGGTTTATTCCGTGAAGAATCAAGACAACTATGGAATGGAAGTATAATTTTTCGAACTTGACATAAATATGAAAGAAAATAACAGTCAAAAATCACAAGATAACGTCAAATGTTATTGATTCGTACGGAAAAATATGAACTATGACTGTGGCTCGATAACATTCTGCAAGCAGCTTACAAGTTTAAAAAATGAAGGCTACATTACCTGAGTGAGTTGTAATCTTATTTCTTCAACAATTGTTTTATATTTCTTACGATTTTGGTGTTGTATAGGATCTATTCTCAAAGACCACACGAGTCAGAACACGAGTGAACACGAGTGAACACGAGACAACACGAGTGAACACGAGTCAAAAAATTGTGAACACGAGTGAACACGAGTCAGAAACTGACGAACACGAGTGAACACGAGTCAAAAAATTGTGAACACGAGTGAACACGAGTCAGAAACTGACGAACACGAGTGAACACGAGTCAAAAATGACGAACACGAGTGAACACGAGTCAAAAATGACGAACACGAGTGAACACGAGCAAAAATGACGAACACGAGTGAACACGAGTCAAAAACTGACGAACACGAGTGAACACGAGTCAAAAATGACGAACACGAGTGAACACGAGTCAAAAATGACGAACACGAGTGAACACGAGTCAAAAATGACGAACACGAGTGAACACGAGTCAAAAATGACGAACACGAGTGAACACGAGTCAAAAATGACGAACACGAGTGAACACGAGGCAAAAATGACGAACACGAGTGAACACGAGTCAAAAATGACGAACACGAGTGAACACGAGTCAAAAACTGACGAACACGAGTCAAAAACGCATTCTTAAAGAGGCTCCCTACAGTTTTAAGCCCGTGATGAAGATCTGTACTGTGTAATTGCACGCGGGTTTCTTGGCGGCCCACAGGATGTTGGAATAATAATTATTAATAACAATTATTCGCCGAAGGCGAGGTGATTATCGGTGAATAAAAACCGAGACGAAGTCGAGGTTTTTATTCACGATAATCACCGAGCCTGAGGTGAATAATTGTTTTAGTATAATTTCATAGGTGAATATTTAGAAAAAAATTAAAAATACACATTTCTTCGTCATTTAATTGACAAAACGGCTTCGGCCGCTATTTTGAGAATCGCTTAGGTGATTATCGCGTAACTGATCACGTACCTCAACAGCAGCCAATCAGCGTGGAGAATTTTGAATAATCACCTATGTAATTAAACTAATAATAATTAAAATCATAACGAAAACTTTATTCAATTTTAATAATAATAATAATACTTATAATTATTATAATTATATTAGAATTAATTATAATTATATAATATATTAATTATTACAACAATTATTATTTAGTAATAATTATTAGTAATTAATTATAATAATAATTATTAATTAATTATTAATAATTATTATTAATTTTTATTAATTAATAATAATAATATGTAAGTATATAATAAGATGAAGATGATGGTCCATAAGATGAAGTTTTGGTTTTGTTTGTTGTTGCTGACCAAAGTAATGCGGAGTCTTTGACGGTTCACCGTTCACATGATCACATCTTGCCACATGGAAAGTTGAAAACGGCGATATATATAGATGTATATATATATATATATATATATATATATATATATATATATATATATATATATATATATATATATATATATATATATATATATATATATAATATGATATATATAATAATAATAATATAATAATAATATATATAATATATAATAATATTATAATATATATATATATATATATATATATATATATATATATATATATATATATATATATATATATATATATATATATATATATATATATATATATATATATATATATATATATATATATATATATATATATTTATATCTATATATATATTTATATCTATATATATCGCCGTTTCCAACTTTCCATGTGGCAAGATGTGATCATGTGAACGGTGAACCGTCAAAGACTACGCATTACTTTGGTCAGCAACAACAAACAAAACCAAAACTTCATCTTATGGACCATCATCTTCATCTTATTATATACTTACATATTATTATTATTAATTAATAAAAATTAATAATAATTATTAATAATTAATTAATAATAATTATTATAATTAATTACTAATAATTATTACTAAATAATAATTGTTGTAATAATTAATATATTATATAATTATAATTAATTCTAATATAATTATAATAATTATAATAATTATAAGTATTATTATTATTAAAATTGAATAAAGTTTTCGTTATGATTTTAATTATTATTAGTATAATTATATAGGTGATTATTCAAAATTCTCCACGCTGATTGGCTGCTGTTGAGGTGATTATTACGCGATAATCACCTAAGCGATTCTCAAAATGGCGGCCGAAGCCGTTTTGTCAATTAAATGACGAAGAAATGTGTATTTTTAAATTTTTTTCTAAATAATCACCTATGAAATTATACTAAAACAATTATTCACCTCAGGCTCGGTGATTATCGTGAATAAAAACCTCGACTTCGTCTCGGTTTTTATTCACCGATAATCATCTCGCCTTCGGCGAATAATTATCACTTATTTACTGAGACCGAGGGAAACAGTGTGTTTTGTGGACCCGAGATCGCCGTTGTTCGAGGGGCCACACAACACACTGCTTTCCCGAGGTCTCAGTAAATAAGTGTTTTGTTATATAGTATGTAAGTGTCAAAGACTCAAAGTATGAATAATTCACCGGTTATTGGAGTGAACTTAATTTGAAACCAAAACTGGATAAATGGAACGCCGTAAATGTTTAGAAAAAAGTTTAAAAAATGAACTTTGGAACTTCATGGTTGACACGCATGCGTATTGCACCCATTTTATTATTGACCGGTCAATAAATGTTTGATTGCGGACCGGTTGCCGAATATGACGTTTTGTGGACAGGCACATGACACGGTTTTGACCAATCGGCAAACAGAAAAATTGAACTTTGAAACTAACTATATAACAATTGTTATTAATAATTATTAATCCAACATCCTGTGGGCCGCCAAGAAACCCACGTGCAATTACACAGTACAGATCTTCATCACGGGCTTAAAACTGTAGGGAGCCTCTTTAAGAATGCGTTTTTGACTCGTGTTCGTCAGTTTTTGACTCGTGTTCACTCGTGTTCGTCATTTTTGACTCGTGTTCACTCGTGTTCGTCAGTTTTTGACTCGTGTTCACTCGTGTTCACAATTTTTTGACTCGTGTTGTCTCGTGTTCACTCGTGTTCTGACTCGTGTTCACTCGTGTTGTCTCGTGTTCACTCGTGTTGTCTCGTGTTCACTCGTGTTCACTCGTGTTCTGACTCGTGTGGTCTTTTAGAATAGATCAAGTAGCGATAAGTAGCGGCTGTTTTCGCAGTCTAATCATTCTTACAAATTGTATGTTTTCGAATTGCTACATTTTCAATTGTATGTTTTCGTTTTTCGAATTGCTACATTTTTGGCGGGGAAAATGACGTCACAAACTTTGCGCTAAAAAAAATTAACAGTTACCTTGGTAATTTTATGCACTTATTCGGTAGACGACATTGAGAGAGTCTTAAAACTGAAGTTTGTTTCTAAATACGACCATTTTTCGCGAAAGATATAGGCATATGCCTACAAATGTCGAAAAACCGGCCATTTTGTAAAAATAGAAGGAAATGGCGGAGTTTTAGAAATTTGAGTTATTATATCTTCGCAACGAATGGTTGTATTTCAGTTTTAAGATACCCTTAAAAACTCATCATGAGGAAAATACAAAAGAAATGAACGTTTAATCAATGTTTGTAAATCGCATAAAGATTTGTGCTGA